AATGAGCAGTATACTAACTAGACTAGACCCGCTGCAATCATGATTGTATTATACCTTTATTTTTGTGTGCTTCTTCGTGTATGTCCGTAGCGTTGGTCCCATGGATATCTATATAGACATTTCTACATCTCAATTCTACTGGCGTGCTTCGTTTTCCCTAAAGATTTCGAGCGAGGCGCGAGAAATACATATCAGTTTTCCAGAAATCAAGGCTGTCGATCATTCGGTACTCAGTGGTCACTTGTCACTGGTTAGGGTTGATAGAGTTTGCGCTCGTACTGGGCAAACATTCGCGGAAGGGGATCATACGCCGGATGAGATACAAGATGCCTTAGTCTTAGCCCCGACAAGGTTGCAAAGGCTTGGAGATGAAACATCTTTGCAAGCAGTTTTGCTTCGCGGGAGAACGCGGGACCAAAATCAGACGTCCCGACCATCGAACAATTTTTGTGACATTGTTTCTGGTTAAACAGTGACCCACAACATCGACAATGTTTATTCTGTTACGAGACCAAAGAAATAAAAATGCACAGCGTAACTATCTGACACACAACATTTAATCAGCTACCGGGTTTTCATCCATATCCACATCCGGTGCAATTTCTTCAGCTTGCTCCACGCTGATATGCCCAGCGGGTCTCCAAACACTACCAGCCGTTGCTTTCCAGAGTCTGACCCGACCATCGTTTCCGGCAGATGACAAAACAGTTCTAACGCCAAGTAATAAGATTTATGTCAGTGGCGTAAAAAAATTTGGGCGACCAACGAAGCTTACCCAGTAATATTCCATTCAACACGACCAACGGCCGATCTATGGTCATCAAAATCTCCCACAAGGTTGACACTCCAACTACCTTCAGGGACATCACTGTCACCATTGTCATTGTCAATCTCGTCCGCCAAGGCTGGGGGCTTGACGCGCCAGATTCTTACATGGCCATCTCGGCTTCCGGTGGCAATCAGTTGATAGGAACGACCGCATGAAGGTGCCCAGGCTACTGTGGTGACGGCAAAGGTAGAAGGTTCGTTATCGGATGAGGATGGGCCAGGAGGTTTGGGGATGGAGTCTTGTGAACGATGTGGGGACGGGTCGAGTGTGAGTAGGGTTGCTGGACGTCTCGATGAAGAAAGTTGAATGATCTAGGGAAAACATATGAGTGTCAATTTAGCGAGGATTTCACGAGGACTATTACCTTGACTTTTCCATCTACCCCACAACCGGTAGCAATGACTTCACCCCAATATCGGTCGTTACACCATGAAATACACCATCCACCATCAGCCTATAATTTCGAAAATTATATATATGCCATCATGTCCAACAAGAGAACCTTACCTCTCGGTTGCCCATACCAGGTCTTCCGGGGGCTGGATTTTGTTGCTGTTGTTGCTGAAGAGCGTGTGCGACAAGTGAAACCGAGGCACCTTCAAGTGTTGATGAAGTGTGAGTTGGTGTAGCTTGTGTAACAGTCTGAGATATTGAACGTGCGCCTGGAGATGCAGAGGGAAGTGAGAGGACATCTACTTCGTCCGCAAGCTGCCAGGTTGAGAGTGAGGGTTGTTCCAGACATTCGTAAATACGCAGATAGTTGTCTGACGATATGGTGGCCTATAGAGATGAAAGCATTCTGAGATGATACCAGACTATCATGAAGAGTTAATGATTACCAATTTCAGCCCAAAATGTTGCGGGGAAAATTCAACGGCACGAACAGTTCCTTTGGCGTCCACAAGGACTGCACGCTCTGTCCACCGCGACGCGCTCGAAGTGGAAGCCCCATTTAGTTGTGGTTGGTCGGAATCAACATATGAAGTTTGTTCCCAGACTTTTACGGTTCTGTCGAAGGATGAAGAAGCGAGGATAGTGCCGAATTCTGGATGTGCCCAGCTAAGTTTCGATACAGCAGCATCGTGAGCCTGTTCAACATAACAATATAGCCCTTCAGTAATCATGAGACGTTGTACTGCTTTTTATTACACACCTTCCAGTCATCTTCGATGTTCCAAGTTCCTAACAATTCGTTTAATTGCCAGACTTTGATTCTGTGGCAAGAAAGGTCATACGCGTCAACAACGCGATATAGTTGTTAAGGGGAACAGCGATTACCTCTGGTCAAGACTACATGTTGCTAGACGTAATCCATAGAAATCATAGGACGCGTCAGTCACCAGGTCATTGTGTGCATTTTGTATAAGTCCTGTTTGAATCATCCCGGGTATATGACTAGTATTCGAACTTTGGATACAACGAAGATTGGAATTCGACTGTCGTAGCAGAAATCCTTGGTGTTGTTTTGTAAATATGTTTACAGATTCCTCTGTAATGTATTGGATGGGGTTTGATAGTCAGAAGTGCGGTTAATGAAGCAAAGTTGAATATTGCAGTGAGGAGGAGCTGCAATGATGAAACAAGTCGTGAAGCGCCCGATCGTCTCGATCATCTCAACCTCAAATCTTGTGGTTGTGCTCCCACATGTGTGTCTTGTTCCAGAACCACAATCATTGCTTGCCTCGACCACACGACCCATAATACATATATACAGCATGGTTCGTAACGAACACGCCAGTGATCTGCACAGAAGCCAAGCCCTACCGTGAAGTTCTCTTCTCCCAAACCCCGACAGAAGTAGAGATCTACCTATCCCGATATTCTGAAGATATATTACCGTCTTTGATCCTCTCGAAAAAAACCCCAACCATCCCTACTATCTCGGCCTATTGCATACCGTAACTTTGGACAGACAAATGCTGTCGGTCAGTCGTTTACCATGTGCGCAAAGTCAACCGACGTTGACGCGAAGATGAACCGTCTCGAGGTCGTTCCATACAACGATCAGACTTCCTTCTGCGCACAATACCGCTGCTGACCATATCACGTTCCCTTCGCCGTCTAGCTATATTGGTGAAATACCAGCACAAGTTATCGGTAAGACCTCGGTTGTACATATCGACTCGTTGTCATTAGGGCGAATACACACGATGTTGAGTGTTCTCATATGCATTACTGTGTGTAAAATAGGGACATTGTGCCTCAATGACCGTAGCGAAAATTTCATTTCCCCCGCTTCATGATGAGTATAAAACTAGCTGCGTTGACGAGGTAAGTGGAGTAGCTTCGAAGCCCTTGGACTAAAAAAACAATGAAGCCAGTCATTGCACTCTCTGCTATCGGCTTTTACGCCCTATCAGCGAATGCCCAAGCAGCTCAATGGGCCCAATGTAAGTTTGCCTTTCTTCTCTCTAATACTCTCGCTAACAATGTTTCAAAGGTGGTGGTCAGGTATGATAACTTCGTAAAGCTTCTTGCATGCCTCGCAGGAAATTCAACTACTTTTAGGGTTGGAGTGGTGCAACAACATGTGTATCCGGGAGCGTATGTAGCATAATCAATGACTGTATGGTCTTTTCTCCTCTTAACATACCTGCGCTTACACCAAGGTATCGTCCAGATTACTCGCAATGTGTCCCAGGTGCTGCCGCCCCAAGTGGCTCAACTACCGTTGCCGCTCCAACCACTGTATCTGCCCCCACCGCCGCTCCCTCATCTCCTAGTACCTCGGGACCAGCAGTTCCTTCAGCCTCATGTGCAACACCCCCAGCCAGTGCAGGCAAACTTCGTTTCGCCGGTGTCAACATTGCCGGCTTCGATTTCGGATGCAACACCGACGGTTCTTGCCAAGCTAGCGCTGCTTGGCCGCCTCTTACTCAGTACTTCGGTCATGATGGTGAAGGTCAAATGAAGCATTTCGTTCAGGACGATGGGTTCAACGTGTTCAGGTTGCCTGTTGGATGGCAATTCTTGACGAACGACGTCCTTGGTGGAGCTATCGATGAGGATAATTTCCAGGAGTATGATACCCTCGTTCAGGCTTGTATCAACGCTGGTGCTGCTGCTTGCATTGTTGATGTGCACAACTACGCCCGTTGGGATAAAGGAGTATGTTTGACTCTTTCACGTCTCTTCTGATCTCAGTTTCTCATATAAATTGCTTTTAGATCATTGGACAGGGTGGTCCCACTGACGACCAATTCGCCGCATTGTGGGGACAAATCGCGGCCAAGTACGCGTCCAACAGCAAGGTTATTTTCGGAGTGTAAGCAACAAGTGTCTTCAACCTTAAACTAGATCCCCTGACTTTTATCCTTCAGAATGAACGAACCCCATGATGTCCCCGACATCAACCGATGGGCTCAATCAGTTCAGGCAGCCGTGACCGCTATTCGACAGGCTGGGTATGTCATAGTATTTTATCTAGATTAGGAATATAGGAATTAATGTTGTCCCACAGAGCAACTTCACAAATCATCCTTCTCCCCGGAAACAACTGGACTTCAGCTGCTACCTTCGTCTCTAACGGCTCAGCTGATGCGTTGAACAAGGTCACCAACCCTGACGGTACCATCACTGGTCTTGTGTTCGATGTCCACAAGTACCTCGACTTCGACAACTCGTATGTCTCTTTTCCGTATTCAATTTGAAGTTCGTTTCTCATTCTATATATTAATGAACGTCAGTGGTACCAATGCCTGAATGTGTAACCAACAACATCGACGAAGCTTGGGCACCTCTCGCACAATGGCTTCGCTGCAATGGTCGTCAGGCGTTCAACACCGAGACAGGAGGTGGTAACACGGCCTCTTGTCAACAATTCTTATGCGAACAAACCAAGTTCCAAGCCCAGAACTCCGATGGTAAATCAAGCTTTATTATCCGAGTTTCAGTCCGTGCTAATGTGATTTTTCACAGTATTCTTGGGATACGTCGGTTGGTCTGCGGGTAACTTTGACCCAAGCTATGTTCTTTCCGAGGTGCCAACCAATACTGGTTCCACCTGGACAGATACATCCCTCACTAAGGCTTGTCTTGCACCCAACATGGTTGGTGCTTTGGCTTAAGATATAAATCGTACACTATCACAGATAAGATGAAAAATGAAAAACTTCCCCTTCGCACGATTGCTATTCCATGTTGTGAAAAAATCCAAATTTTATAGGTATGATCCTTCGGGCCGGGATCGAACCAGCGACATTCAGATGTCAATGAAGGTATCCAATTACAGTCTGACGCTCTTCCAGCTGAGCTACCGAAGGTTATACGACCCCAACATAGACGCTGAAACAATCTGCAACAAGCGTCGACGCGTGCGTGCGAAAACAAGACGCGGTGCAATCGCGTTCTGCCATTTCCAAACTTGACGCGATACCGTGTTACTGTCATTTCATTGATGATCTCAGCTTTGAACTAGAACATCATCTCCAAACCTCCGTAATGTGAGTTCAAGATACACTCCAGAAGTTGGAGAACTAACACAATATTGTTCTTTCAGTCATTCCTCCTGGTCTCCGCTGGTTTAAGCAGTCTTTTCGGATTCAATGCTTAAACGACCTCGGGATATCTATGAACTACCCCCATCTTCTCCACCGCGGAGCTCTCCAGTCAAACGAACTCGCATACAACTACCTGCGTCATCGCCTGCCCCTAGACGAAGTCCTTCGAAATCATGGACTCCTAACTCCAAATACTCTTTCAGAACACCTCTTACTGTTCCGTCCGACTCTCCGAGTAATCCTTTCGGGATGAAAAGATCTCTGGTAGCTCTTGATCTTCCTGCACCAATACCACTGAGGAAACACTTTGTGCTGCGCTTCCAACTTGTCTGTGACCAAAGCAAATCAAAGCAGAGGAAACATAGGGGTGGTGTTTACAGGATCGTTCAGATGCCTCGGAATTATACATTCCGACATCTCCACAAGCTGATTCTATTCCTCTTCGCGCCTGATGCTCATGACGACTATCCTGATGACAGAGATGCCAAATGGCGCAACATCAAGGGCAAACAGAAAGCTACACCCGAGTCGGAGAAGCCCTGGCGTGGACACGTCTTTGAAGTACAAGACGATATTCAAATGTACCCCTATCTCACTCAGGCTGGTGTAATTCAACCTGGTGGCAAGACTGTCACCAAGCTGTCGAGTGTTCGAGAACGCCAAGTCTTTCGTAATCTGTATGATCCTATTCATGACGGTTATTCGAACTTTGACGATTCCGAAGGCGAAGACGATCCGAATGGTTGGACTTGGGTCTGTGAAGATGACTATACCTTGGCTCAGGTGTGGCGTAAAGGCCTGACTCCGGATAAAGGTATCATCTATGTAAGTCAACCATGTCTTAATCTTGCATCTTCAAGCGTTTATCTCATACATCTATTCTGCTCAAAGCGTCATAGCCCATCCGTATCTGTCCATATAACACAGAACACTCTTGACGTCAAACCTCCTCGTAAATCGACAAGTGGTAGTCCCTTCGTACATCTTGCACAGGGACTTGCCGGAAACTCCATCAGGATTGCACATACCACCTTGGACGACGGAGGTAACGAGCAAGTGTCAGAGCACGAAGATTTCTCCTTTGAACCTTGTTCGAAATCGCACTTTTCACGATGGAATGCATATCGCGCATTCGCTGCTTTCTTACGACGGGAAGGGGATCGTGAACGTGGTATTTTCCGACGTTACCTCCCGGACGAACTATTCGATAATACACGTACGCTAGTATCCTCATCATCACCAACCCTACATCCCTCCTCGGATTTCGAAGAATCAGAAGCTGATACAGACTATTCGACATATTTCTTCTCTGATCCATCACCATTTCCGATGATCACACCATACCCTTCGCACCCGCTTCATCGCAAACGCGTTGAGCGTGTTGAGCGCAGGATGGAACGCTTGACGAAAAGCGGGATGTCTGTGCTTAGCTCGGATGAAGAAGATGATAAGAAGAAAAAGAAGAGACGGAGGAAAAACCTTCTGAGGAGGTGCTAGAGTGGTCGGATGATGCTGATGGCGAAGATGAAGGCGAGAACGGGGGCGATGAGGAGGAGGAGCAAGAGGGGAAGATTAAAGTGTTGGTGGAAGAGGTATTTGATGACGAGGAAGAAGTGTTTAGGGAGGGAGATTGGTTGAAGATAGAGGAACTAGAGGATGAGGAGGATGACAGGTACGGTCCGGACTGGGATCCATTCGGAGATGAGGTTGAAGTCTAAGGGCTTCTGACGGTGGTATACATATGATATTATTTGTTGGTGGTCATAATTCTACGATATTCATGACAAAGTACGATGATTTGTCTATAGCTTTTCAGGGGAATTAAATGTCAAAGAAACAGAAATGTCCGCGGCTGTTGGCGAGCGGACCCTGTTTAATGTTTGATGATACACTCTTTCGGGTTGCAGGCCTCTTGTGGGTTCGAATAAGCTTCAGGTTTTTGGGGTGCTGGCCCAGGTTCCTGTGCCATTAAACTCAACTTGACGGCTTTTTGGAAATGGTTTTAATTTCCTGAATCTCCATGGAGAAACACACTCAAAGTACGCCGTTTTCTTCTTTACTTTGCGTGCGACTGATATCCTGATATCTCTAGTAACCTTTTCCTCACACGACCTTGTTTCTTACGCTATACTTGATGGAGCAGTCCTGATATTCCACTGCGCAAGTACGTTCCAGACCCTAACTAGGTTTTCTGATCTCCCTCCGAGTTTAAACAACAGCCCAAACAGATATATCCGCCGGTATCAACTCCGCGGTGTACCCAATGATTGCGATGGGTCGTACTAGTACAGGGCTCTCCGCTCAGCGTGATATGACCAATAGACAGGTTGGCAACTCACGGGGTCTGAAGGTTCACCGTTTAGCTTGGAACAACGTCCGCTCCAGTCTCCGCCAAAAGTTCATCTGCGGCTGAAATGGGGTGAGTTTACTTACACAAATACAAATCAACTCGGAACGTACTGAGGTGTCTTGCTGCCAAGTCATCTGGACCAAATATAGTAAGCAAACAGTCGTACGAAGGTCTCAATACAAGACTCACCATTCAGAGCCATAGGAGCAGCCATCGTCAAAGCGAGGAGGGTGAGGATGAAGAATACTTTTCTGCCGATCATGGTGTCTTTGTAAAAGATACTTTCACTGACTGTGGTACGAATAGGACTTGAACCACCATCTTATATAGAACTCTCCTCGGCTAGGTTTGAACATCGGAAAAATCAGAAAGTACTGCTGGACGTACAAGCGATAACTCTATGTATGATCATCAGTCACGATGTTCTTCGGGTATTGTATGGGATCATGGTATGACGGGATTTCGTGAAGTACAATAGTACTTATCAGAACTCAAAACCTCACCAGGATTCAAGGTGACTTCTCTTTTGATGAAAGTTGAACTCTCTTGATCTTCGAACGCCATGTTGAACGTGCTCCTCTGGACATTTACTGTGTGCAATCTTACCATTCTTTCAGCCAATGTATACCGTGTCTTTGGGCCTCAGAAGGAAACTCAACACAGTGCGTATGATTTCTATTCAGACACTTGAAACTAGCTTATTCCGAGTACAGCATGGCTGGATAGGGACAACCCCTTGTACGTACCCACAGGTCCCATCAACACTGTCGAGATGACATTCCAAGAATCCACCCGATTCGGATTTGACCCCCAAAATGACTGGCGAACACTCTACACAAGCCACCATGGAATCGGATTCATTCACTTGGGTCCATTCCACCACCGATTCCTTGGTAGCACTCATCACGCCCTACACTGCGTCCGCAGGATGATCGACGATTTCAACGCGCCAGATCACGTCTCCAATCCCTAGTCATCACTTCATTCATTGTCTCACGTATATGAGACAGGATGCCCTTTGCAATGCAGATAGGACACTGGAACTCGGGGACTTTATGATGCGGAACTTTACAACGGATCGTATAGGGAATACACGGTCTTGCAGGGATTGGATGAAAGTGGAGGGAATGGTTGAATGATAACCTTAGGGACTGGGTGGGTTTCAATGATCTCTCGTTAGAGAAGCTGAACTTTACTTCGAAGCTGTAGTCTGGTAAGGTCATCTCCCATCTTAAGAAATGACGACGACTAATATGAAAGGTACAGCTATATTTGGAATAGGTGACATGTATCAAGTCATATATGGTATATGAACGTGTCAACAACTTGAAACAATTGACCGTTGTCGTCAAGTCCCAGGTACTACGCTATGCCAACATGCATATAGATGCGCCCAGAGCGTGGTAATGACCAACTGGAGTTTCTTCCGTGTACGTATGTTGCGAACGGTGAGCTGGAGAACCTGAACCATGTTGTATCATTTTCAGAAAGCCCAAGTAAATCCTGCTGATATTTTCTACCAGTTTTCCACACAAGACATCTTTAATACAATCCCATATACGAGCTTCGCAGGACACCAGAGACTTTATAAATTGTGATGTCGGTATGTTTCGCTTGTACAATGACAACGGGTGGAATCCGGCTGAGAAAGTTGCCTTCCACGATCGTCAAAGACGTGTAAATGAAACACTGTTATGGTATAGTTTTATTCTAGCTCATCATGACCGAGTGATCCCGCTAAAAATGCTATGTATCAAGGTGAGAAGGTGTGTATGTTTTGAAAAGGCTGAGAAGGGTAAGACAAGCTCCGTCCTGCGGAAAAAAAGTGGCGAGACTAGGATGAGAGTCAAGAAGCAACTGTACTATTTATTCGTGAGGATCATCATACAGAAGCAATGTCGAGTTCAATAACCAGTCCATGCAACAGAATATCCAACTTCTGTTCTTTCTAAATTATTCATGACAAAAACGCGATCACATGAATCGCACGTGCAGGCTTCTACACTTCGGTTCTCACAATACCCGAAAATCTAGGCTTTCGTGCGAGAATTGATACTCGCATTTTTCCCTTTCGACCACATTGCGCACTGCGTCCATGTTTTCAATTCACACCCCAAATGAGCGGTGAGATTATTCTTACAAGCATGACTGTATGCGGGAAAGGATTCGATAGCTGGCTACCATGGTTCAGTGCGAGATTCCATGCCAAGGCCAGGGCAGCATGTGTGAGCACCCATGTCCGTCCTCACCGTCTCTCAAACTCTAACGACGTTTGATTATCCAACTCAATGGTAAGCTGATCGACCTCCAATATTCCCTCACGTTTCGCGTTAGTTTGACAGTCGCTCTCACAGGTGTTGGCCTCGTTGGCTTCTCATAGCGACACTACCTCGATCCTTCATACTGCTCCACT